AAGTCAGTGGCAAAGCTAGGATTGGAACTCAGTAACTCTAACTCTAAAATCCATGCTATGGTGCCACAGTGTACTGCCTCTGGAGATAATAGGATCAAGGTGTAAAAACCTCTGGTCTGGAGCCAGGCACCCAGTTGGTGAGACTATTCCAAGGTTTAGAAGAAGAGAGTTTAATAGCTCTGGCCACCCACACAAAGAGAAGCACCAATTTGTGGAGAGTGCTGTGATTTTTTGATCTTATACCAAAACTTTCTTATGTTTTTGCCTTTGAACTTTGAGGACCTGCTGGCTGAGCTTTCCTAATTGTGGGGGATTCCTTTAGAGAAGGCGTCTGTTAGCACACACCACATACCTTCTCGGCACCTGCCAGGACTCCTAGGGCTGCAGGTGGGCGGGGATGAGAGGCCTGCGCAGCGCAGCACAGGTGAACACTCCACCCACCTCGCCGCCTGTGGCCTCCAGCCCAGCTCCCTCCGCTGCTGGAGCTTCAGTCTTTCCTGTTGACGGTAATTAGAACCTTTCAGCCTCAATTTCTTACATGAAAAATCCCAATTCACTTGGATTGTCTCCTTGATCCAGTTCACCTGGAGCTATTTAGTTTCTGCAGCTTGTTTGGAGGGGAAAACAAGCTCCTAAGCCTTCACACATTAGGGCTGATAAGATCAAGGTGCTCAGAGTGGTGGGGGTAAACTGCCTGGATTTGAATTCCAGTTACACTTCACAAGCGTGCACTATCTGAGTTTGTGTGTCTGTGAAGTGGGAATAAAAATAGTGAAGATTCAATGGGGTAACACACATAAAGCCTGAGGAGCACATACAATGGCTCAGACACTATTCTAAGTACTTCACCTTTTTTTTTTTTTGTTGGTTGTTCAAAACATTGCATAGTTCTTGATATATCATATTTCACACTTTGATTCAAGTGGGTTATGAACTCCCATTAATGCAACAGTTCTGTGATGTTTCTGTATGGTCACTTTATTATGGGAAAGCGAGGCAATGGAATTAATTCATCAAGTAATTTGAAGTCAATGGCAAAGCTAGGATTGGAACTCAGGCACTTTTAACTCTAAAATCCATGCCACTGTGGTGTGCATGCACAAGCCCCTGGGTTCAATCCCCAGTAACAAAGTTAGCAGGTAGTATTTTCATTATGAAGCCCCTCTAGCTATCAGCCCCCTTCCTTTCTTACCAACTTGGGATCTTGCTCTTTCTGGAAAGATAGTCCCCTTCTTGTCCCCCACACTCTAGGCCTTCCCCTAACCAGGTTATTTCATCTCTAAGCTTCCAAGTCCTTATCTGTGAAATGGGGCTTGGGATAATGAGGTCTGCTTCATAAGGTTGCCACAAAGGTTAAGTGCACTCATTCAAGTGCTGAGCACTGTGCTCAAAGACCGTTCACTCTCACTGCTGTTGTTCCTGCAGCACAAAAGGCTACCAGGAAGGGCCTTTGAAATCTTAGAGCCCTAAGAGCCAAAGAGCCCATCATACACAGCAGCATTTGGAGTTAACACATGCCTGAGTGGGAGCCTCCCAGCTGGGACACTGCTGGCTTGCTCCTGGCTGAAATTCTGCACCTGGAATGCAGGAGACACATGGGGATGCTAGGTGACTGGGTAGAGCCGAAGAGCGTTCAGAAATGAGTTTGTTCAGGAAGCCTGGCAGATAATTTTCAAGGCAAAACAGGTAGGTGTTTGGGCATTCCCGCCCCCCCAGCAAGAAATACTTCCCTGCTCTCCTTTCCTCTACTGTCTTTACCCTCAGGATTTAAAAAAAAAAAAAAAAAAAACAACTCCCATTATTTGGTGGTACTAAATTAGTACTTTGTAGACAGTTTACTTCATTTCAGTCTTGAAAAGCAGGTATTATCATTCCCATTTTACAGATGAGAAGCTGAGATGGAGAGAGATTAAGCAGTTTGCCCAAGGTTACATACCTGGTAAATTTTAGAGCCAAGATTTGGAGCCTCACCTACAGGGCAGAAAGGGGACTGCACCTATATGCTCATTAGTGTTTCAGTTTTAGAATTAGTCTCACTACAGTCCCCACAGATGCAGGAGTGGCTCCTGTTCACCACCAGAATGGCTTTTCCTTGGAGTCATCTGGTCTTGACATTATCTGGCCACTTCTTAAAGAGAATCAGAACTGTGCTTGCTTGCGTGCCCCGCTCTCCTCACTCACTCTCTCTTAAAAGTTCTTTGCTTACTTGCATTTTCATGAATCTCTATATATGACCACTATCCTGACTTAATAATTGAGAGAGTCTAGTTCCAGAAGTGTTGGGCAGGGTGTCCTCTGTTGTCAGATTTTCAAGAGCTCTGTGTTGCTTTAGTGTTAGGGTTGGAATCTGGAGTATCCCCCAAAGACTCACGTGTTGAAAGCGTGGTCCCCAATGCAGCAATGTTTAGAGTTTAGAGGTGAGGCTTTGGAGAAGTGATTGGTTCATGAAGTCTCTGACCTCATCAGTGAATTAATCCCTTGATGAATTTATAATCTGAATTGATTTTGGAATATTGAGGAATCTATAGGAGGTAGAGTCTAGTGGAAGGAGTGGGCCCTTGGGACTATATCTTGTCTTTGGCCCCTCCCTCTGCCTCTGCTTTGTGGCTGCCATGGACTGAGCAGTTTTCCTGTCACACGGTGCCATAGAGTCAGCTGACCATGGGCTGAAACCTCTGAAATCAAGAGCCAAAATAAATCTTTTCTCCTCTAAGTTGATTTTCTCAGGTATTTGTCACAGTGACAAAAATCTGACAAGCGCAATTAGATATGAAATTATTTTTAATGAATTGTTTTGCCCTTTGGAAGTGAATATTTGAAGTTTATTAATTAGAAAACATTAAGAACCAGCCAGACACAGTGGGGCACACCTGTAATCCAGCAACTTGGGAGGCTGAGGCAAGAGGATAAAAAGTTTGAGGGCAATCTCAGTATTTCAGCAAGATCCTGTCTCAGAAAAATAAAAAATAAAAAGAGCTGGAGGTTTAACTCAGTAGTAAACCACCACTGGGTACCATCCCCAGCACCCAAATAGACACTAGTATTGCTATATGTATAAACATGACTGTAAGACCAATGTGATTCTGCAACCTGTACACTCAGAATAATGAGAAATTATACCCCATTTGATTCAAATGTATGATATGTCAAGATCATTGTACTGTCATGTGTAACTATTTAAAACAAATTTTAAAAAAGGAAAAAAAAATTAAAACTAGAGAAAAAAAAATCAAGAACCTAAAGAGGGCCAAGACTCTAAAAACTAGGAGGCTGAGATTGATTCCAAGCATTTTTTTATATTTGATAGGAGGATTACTTTCTCTCTCTTTCTCTCACTCACTCATGCATCTTCTCATTTTCTTTCACCCTGTTTATCATCCCAAGATTATTTTCCAAGTAATTTGGGGGATAAATGTTAATTCCTGTGAAACACATTGACCCTGCTCTCAAAAATGGTCTCAGATATATTTGCCAAAGTTTATCCAACAAAATCACTGGTGAGTCGAAGATTTAACTTTCTTTTATTTACTCCCTGACAGAAAGCACTTCCCTCTCCATACAAAGTCCTGGTGAGAATAAAGGGAAATTCATTAGGTTCAATGACTTTTCTCCCTTCCCTCACCTCTCCTGTTCCTCACCCCAAATCCTTGAGACTATGGCTATTACTCCCTCCCTGAAGAACAAGACCTCCTGCTAGGCTGTGCCCGAGGTCAGGCGAACAAGGGGAGGAAAGTGCCCCCTCCACTGTGGCCAGCTGAAGGCCACAAAAGCCATCTTGATCCTTTGACCTATATTGATGCTGAGTCTGTTCCTTTGGTGTCCCTGACTTTGGCAGTGTGGTTAGTTTAACTCTCTGCCCCCACCTTGAATTGAGCTTTGATGAAAAAGTAGTAGGAACCCAGGCCTCTCCCTAGAGATTTGGGGTTTTTGTCTTGGAAAAGCATCAACCAAACTAGCAGGGGCAGGAGATCTGGATTCCTGTGGCTTGGGCTAACTTAGGTCCAAAGAAACCAAGTGCCTGTGATCATCGTCTTTATTCCCCAAATGTAGCCATGCCCTCTGGATTCCCTTCTCACTCATCCTCCCCCAGCGAGGATGGCTTCAGGGTGGATTGCTCTTCTTTGACCATTCCATATTTGAAAGGAATATGTCCTTCCATATTTGAAAGGCTTTGGTACATGAGAATACTTGCAGATTGCTGTTGCCTGGCTGACCCAAAATCTTTTGGCTTTAGTACATGCAATACCAGAACAACTATAAAGCACCAGCCTATTTTCTCTCCCTTGAGATCCTATAAACCTCTCTGAAATTTGCCTCTTTGGCAAATCTGGACCACAGAGCCTCCTGGCTCCTCTCTCCCCAGCACTGCTTCTGTATATCAGGAATCTTTTGGTTGTCCTGATTGTATTTCTTGGACCTTTGTCTTGGCTTCCTATAATAGGATGACCAGATTTGTGTGCAGAAATCCAAAAGAAGCCAGCCTCCTGTGATCCCAGATGACAGAGTAATAAGGTCTGTGGGTTTCTGTGTGATACTCTTCTCCATATATGCAAGACTGTTTACCTCGGTCATGCCTCCAGATATTCTGCGGGTGATCTTTGGGCATGCAGTGGTGAATGTTACGGTGCCAGAGAATTTCAACAGATTTAACCAATGACGAATGACTCATTCATCCAAATCTTTATACACGAGGAAAACCAAACTAGGAAGGCTGAAGAAGTTCCCTATCTTGTTTCCTCTCTTCACCTGACCATTCCTCAAATCAGTAAAAGCTCCTTTGGTCAAAGTGGTTGTAACTGGGTGCCTCCATCCAGGACAAGCTTTGTAGAAATACTAATCTTAAAGTCTCACCCCAGAGGTTAATGGCTACACACTGTAACACTGACTCCCCTTAAAAGAACAGCTCTACCAAGACTGGATCTGTAACCAGGAAATGACCAAGAGAAGGCAGCGACTTGAAATACAGAGACCTAATGTACTTCTCTCTATTTCCATTCCAGATTTGCTGACGATGAAAGAATATCACTGTCTGCTGCAGTTACTGTGCCCGGATTTCCCACTGGAGCTCACTCAGAAAGCAGCCAGGTATGTCTCGGGCTCTTGCAGCCCGCTGAGTCTTCCAGATGAGGGCTTTTTAGAGAAATCTGAACCATGTATGAGTGAAAAAAGTCATTAGGGGAAAAATTGGCATTTGGAGAGTGGTCTATTTGGGGTTTGCCCCAAAACAATACTTTCTGCGTTTCTTAAGGGAAGCCAAATGATCCTTTGTGGTTTCTGTGGGGAGCCTCAGGGTCTGAAGATACAGTTGGAGGATGGTGAAATGAAGAAGAAAAAAAATCCAAACACAAAACACATGTGCGCACGCGTGTGCACACACACACACACACACACACACACACACATACACACACAAGAGGACATTCTGAGAAAAGAGGGGGCAAGAGTTGGCAGTGACTCATGATGAAGAATGTTAGGGACCGGAAAGGCATGAAGGTGATAAAACTCCAATTGAGGGAAGGACAAATTGAGGGAAGGGTATTATGTATGCCAGAAGAAGGCTTTCAAGATTAGTCCAAAAGCAGGACTTGGCAGACATAGTTAAGAGCCCTCATTTCTATGTTCAGTTTTACTATCATTCACATGTTTTAACCAAATGAAGTAGCTGGACCATGCCTCAGTTAATGTGTACATATTTAATATTAACTAGGGATGCAAATGGAAATATAGTTTTAAAAAAATAAAAGAAAGAGATCTTGTTTCTGAAAGATGCCCAGCTTCCCTAAATCATATTGAAGGCATTTACCTCATTGTTCCATTTAAATTTGTTTACCTAACTATCTCACTTAATCCTTATAAAAACTGTTACGTCGTACTTTACTGAAGAGGAAAATAAGGCTCAAACAGATAAATAGCATTGACTAGATTTATTGAAAGCTTGTAAGCAGCAGACGCATGAGTTGGACCCAAGTCTGCCTGAATTCAGAGGCTTTGCTTAGTCCCCACACTCCTGCCTCTGTGTCGTGACATCATTTCTGCTTTGTCTGGGCCTCTTGAGACCAAAGGTGCATCAGTTGTACTGCACCAAGAATCACCTCACTCCTTCCGAATTGAGCCAGCCAACCCCTCTGCTGACTTGGATGATGGGAAGTCCATTGCTACCAGCAGGAGACACCAGCCTCCCACTGGGGCAGGATGTCCACCGTTCACATGAATTAATTTTGCTGGTCATGTGAGAAACCTGTTTAGTGATCACATATCCAAAATTTTATAGTTTTTTTTTTCCTTCCCTCTTTATTGTTCAGTGCATACTTATTCCAGTGGCAGCTAGCCATGGGTAAAAGTTCTAGATCATGTTTTATCATTTTTATTTACCTGTATCCAAAGGAAAGGAGATTTGGATGTTTTTCTTTTCTTAGCTGAAGAGGGAGGGAGGAAGGAAGGAAGGAGAAAGAAAAGAGAGGGAGGGAGGGAGGGAGGGATTATCTCTTCTAATTTAAAAGCAAGCAAGTGGAGTTAGCTTCAGGTTTCCATGATGCTCCCTTTGGGTTCAGATCATGTAAAGAAAGATTCAAAATGGAGGCGGGGGTGAATTCAGCATTCTTAAAGACTGAACTGATGGATAAAAGCATGAGCAAGGTATGGCGGCACATTTCTATAGTCCCAGCAACTCAGGAGAGGCTGGGGCTGGAGGATGGTGAATTCAAGGCCAGTATGGGCAACTTCATAAGACCCTGTCTCGATCAATTTATCATTCAATTAAAAAAAAAAGCACAACTCTATGTAGAGAATTTTTAAATAAAGAAAAGATCTACATATGTGCATGTGTGTGCTCCAGGAGAGCAGGCAGGATCTAAACCAGTACTGCTCACTGCTGAGATCCTGTCACTTAGCATAGTACCTAAATGCATGCTAGAAGGTGTCTGCTGAATAAGTGAATGTGTGGAAAATGTGTGAATGAATATTCTGTGTCGTTTTTTTTTTTTTTCCAGTGCTAAGGATTGAACCCAGAGCCTCACACACATGCTAGGCAAGTGGTCTACTGCTTACACACACACCCACCCTTGTCTGAAATTTTACATGGTTCTAAGTAACTTTAAGAACAAGAGCTAGTAACTGTATTTTTTGTGTGTGTGTGTGTGGTTGTAGATGGACAGAATGCCTTTATTTTACTTGTTTATTTTTATGTGGTGCTAAGGGTTGAACCCAGTGCCTCATGCATGCTAGGCAAGCACTCTACTACTGAGCTACAGCCCCAGCCCCAGCAACTGTATTTTATATTCAGTTATTCACTTGCTTATTTATCAAATATTTCTTTTTTAATAATCTCTTTTTGGGGGGATACTTTTTACATACCATCCACTTGAAGTATAAAATTCAGTGACTTTTGGTTTATTTTTAGAGTTGTACATCCATTAACACAATCAATTTTAGCATATTTTTATTACTATAAAAAGAAATCCTAGCCAGGTACAAGGTACACAACTATAAAACTCCAGTTACTCAGGAGACTGAGACAAAAGGATGGCAAGTCTGAGGCCAGCCTGGAAAACTTACCAAGATCCTGTCTCAAAACAAAACAAAAAGCTGGGGCTGTAGTTCAGGCTTTGATGCCCTGTGTTCACCCCTCAATCCTGCAAAGGAAGGGAGGGAGAGAAGGAGGGATGGGGAAAAGAAGAGAGGAGAAAAGAAGGCAATGTAACCCTTAGCCATTTTTCTCCAACCCCTGTTCTCCCCAGCGATAGGCAACCACTAATGTACTTTCTCTATATATAGATTCACCTATTCTGGGCATTTGAAGTAAATAGGATTATAGTATGTGGTCCTTTGCTAGTGGCTTCTTTCACTTGGCATGAAGTTTTCAAAACTCATCCATATTGTAGCATGCGTCAGTACTTCATTTCATCAAATATTTCTGGAGTGCCAATTTTGTGCAAGGAACTACTGTGTACACTGTGGATACAGTCACCAGTCCTCATTCCTGCCATTCGTGGAGCAACATTTAATTTAGAAGGGAATCACTTGGGTACCAGTCACTGGCTACCACCTCTTTTGATACATCACTTTGGTTTCTGTCACTTCAGCATATCCACTCTTTCTCTTATTGGAAAGGTAAAAGTGAACTTATGAGAGTGAGTCTTCTATTTGATTCTTAACCCCACCAGCTTGGGCTACGCATTTGCCGCACACATCTATCTCTCCAGGCATTTGCAAACCATCTGACATAGGAAAGTAGTGCAAGACTAGGGTATAAATGATAGAGTCTTCTAAAAACCCACAAATTCTTAATAAGTTTGAGTGTTACTTGGCATCCTTATTGATACAAAGGGGTTTCTAGCATGGTGCTCCTTATTTGTGGTGGGAAGCTTATCTGCTGACTTAAAACAACAACAACAAAAAAAAACACTTTTTGGTTTGAAGAGGAAGCATTATAGCCAGCTCTGTCAATAGTAGTGTGACGGGATTATGGGAATGCAAGTAGAAATGGCAGAAGGGCCTCAGAAAATCTGCAGGGGACTGGCTGCAAACTTAGAGATGAATTGGGAATCGGGGATCTTTGTTTTCTCCCTGGGTATGAATATCAGGATTATCTGTTCACCCCGACCTCCTCAATGTCTCTCTTTCCCTACTCCACTTCTGAGATCTCAGAAAATGCCATCTGATTGTTTAAGTTATTCTCATTGTGTCCCAAAGGTCAAGATCCAACTTCCCCACACACATGCCCAGGCATCTAACCAGAAACACAAATTGGGGTGGTTAGTCCTGCAAAGCAGTTATTGTTGCTAGAAGAGGAAGTGCCCTCACCCATCCCACTACCAGGCTTATTTAATCAGAGCCCTGAGGTCTGGGGACAGACTGCAGAAGGAGGCTCCAGTCTGATGATGTGTACGTAAAAGAATGTAATCCACAGGCAGCTGTACACCAGAGCCTGTGCCGGGCATGGTGTCTCCACATGCGCCTGCTTTATGGGCTGGCTATAAGCATCATGGTCAGGCCCAGGGCAGCAGGTGTGAGCTGGAAATATAGAAGGAACAAACAGACTCCACAACGGCAGCCACAGCCACAGATCCCCTTCACCTCATGTATTCCTGCAACAGTGGGACAGTTAAATAATTGTATCCCAGATGATCACCACTGCATCTTCATCTCTCCAAGCTGGGAAGCTTTCCTGATGGTTAAGAAAAAGTAATTTAGTTGGGCCTCAGTGTCTTCATTTGTAAAATGAGAATAATAATAGTTGTAATAATTGAAGGAAAATTATGTAATATGCTTAAAAGGGGTCCCTGGCACAAAGTAAACTTACAATAAATGTTAGAAGTAGTAGTATTAACCATGACCTATAGGAACACAGGCACCATGATGTTAGAAAGATCTAGTTGTACATTCCACCTGCCTCATCATTAGATGACCTTGAGGATATCTCTTAACTTCTCTGAGTATTGTTTCCATATTTGTAAAATGAGTATAATAGTAATAAAAATAACTATAGGGTATTGGTGAGATTTCAACAACAGAAATATGTCAATTGGTTAGCACATTGCAGACAGTCAATAAATAATAACCATTTGCTATCATAATAATGTTGGTACTATTGTTATTACCAGATTTTTTAAAATAATATTCCTGGGCTCCCAAAGGACTTTTCACTTTTAAGTGAAAGGACTTTTTCACTTAACAACACTCAGAAAATAAAATATAACAAAAACATTGGGTAAAAACAAGACTGGCTGTGGTTGGCCTGCAGGTTCTGGCCTTCTCCCCAGATGGGCTAAGGGGACCATCACACTTACAAATTATTTGAGATCTAAGTGTCACAGGGTTGGGACATCTTCAAGGATAGAGATTGAAAGCAGTGGTTCTCAAACTGGAGCAGCATCAGAATCACCTGCAGAGCCTGCTAAACCTCACATGCAGCCCATCCCTGGAGCTGAGAGGCCTGGGGTGGGGCTCAAGAACTCATACTTCTAAAAAATTCCCAGATGATGATGATGGTCTGGAAACCACACTTTGAGAACCACTGATTTAAAGTGTTGCCTGCCAGTCTCACTCTGGCATTTTAGAATTGGATGGATTAAAATGAGTTACAT